GCTTTACTAAAGCGAGGAAGCGGCTTTAGTAGAGGCGTGCCGCGTGCATTCCGAACAACAAAACAACGTTTCACTGAGGCGAAAAAAAGCTCTAGTAAAGCGGAGGAACGGCAGGGGTGAAACCGCGCGCGGTAATTTCGCCTCTCCCATAAAATGTGGCCCTGGACTCCAGCGGCAAGGGCGGGGCGCCAGTTCGCCCGCGGGCCCGGGCCCCGTCGCCGCCGTCGCCGCGAGGTTCGTCGTCGCCGCCGTCGCCGATGCCGCCGTCGTCGTCGCCGACGGCGCAGGCGCCGCCGTCGTCGCCGCGACGCCCGCGCGTTCGCGTCTTGCCGGCGGCGGGTCGCGCGCGACCGCGCGCGCCACTGCGCTCGCGTCTCCGCTCGTCCGATGGGAGCCCAGGCGGACGTCGCATTTTTTCTGTCGCCCGCAACTCGTTTAGATTAGCGGTTGGAGAAAGAGCGCCTCTGATTTGCCCCGCTGCGAAACTGCCCCAGTGAAGGTGGTTGCGCCGCGCGCCTACGTCGCGCGCTCGTCCTGTCTGCCAGACATTCCGGGCGCCACCCATCGTCGCGGTTCGCCGCGCGCGCGTTTGAATGGCATGGCACGTCGCGTCCGATGGCGGGGGATCCTTCCGCGACGCCCCCCGATGAGTCAACCCAGCTCGCCCAGTGGGCTGCCGGGGCCAGCCGCTCCGAGTCTCGGAGTCCGAGCCCAGCGGGGCGCGAGAGGGGGCGGGCATGGGGAGCCCACGCCTCGAGAAGCATTCCGTGGACAGTCTCGCTCCGACCGTCCGATCCAGCGATGCCGAAAAACGTTCGACGTTCGGGGCGTTGCAACCGCGCGCGCAGCTGCGGCGGGGTGGGGCGGCGGGGCGGGGCGCAACGACTGGTTCAGGCGTGGGGCGGCGCGGGGATGTGGCGCGGGCCGCGCGGCTTGCGGAATGGGGGCTCCGGTCATAAATGGAACAGTTTCGCCTTCTCCTCCGCCCGTGTAGTTCCGAATGCCGTTGTATATCCATATCTTCCAATAAATGCCCCCGACGCGCGCTGCGCCCGTTGTTCCGCTAGATCGTCGTGGGCCCGAGCTTGGGGGGGGGTCAATCGTGGGCAGCCCCTGCGGTGCGTCATTGAAATTATTGCTTCATGTGGCGCGTCTCCTGCAAAGAAGTTTTGATTGCCTCGTAACTCTGCGTGGCGTCGCCTAGGTGGCGCGCACTTGAGATGTCGTCAATTTGCACTGAGATTTCCGCCCCTGGTGGGGGCGCGGCTCGGGCGCGTTCCAGGGCCGATTCCGCGCCAGGCGCGAGAGAGCTGGCATCGAAGTGCCCCCCTGTTCTCCCCCATCCCCCTATCTGATCGCGCGGGCCCGCCCTTGGTCGCCGCTCCATATGAATTGCGACTGCGCGACATGTCGCGGAGACGCGCCTGGGGTCAGGTCGCGTAGTGGCGCCCCCCCCAAGGATTGTTCGAACGCGTGGGCGCTGGAATTCACAATCAAAAGCGCCCGCGCCGTCGATGCGCAGCGCGACGCTATTGGGGTCCACCCCCGTCAGGTACCGGACCCCGCGAATCGCTGCGTTTGTGCCGCGCTGGTCTTGAATCCCAGAACTGTTGGGCAAGAGGCGCCCCGTAGGTGTTGTTGGCATTGTTTTGCGAATGTCTTGGCCGCCGATCTGCGGAAAGTGTCTCCGCGAGATATGCCCCGAACGCGGGGCTCGGGAACGGGTGCGGCCGCGTGGGTGAGACCGGAAAAACATCTTGGATAGGTTCGGGGATCCTTGCTGCTGCGAGGAGTTGCGTCATGTCGTGCAGGGTTGAAACGAAGTCGTCCTCCGAACAGGCCTTGAAGCATTGGCGTCGATGCCCCCTAAACCCTCCGCTGAACCCCCGTCGAGATTGTCGCAGCGCCGTCGCGCAAATTCCCCTGCCCAGCTGCACAGGCTGTCGCGGCCAAAAATCCGTAATTCCATCAAGCAAGTTTCCTGCGGGATGGGCGGGCCGCAAAGCTGGATGCACCAAATCATGGTATGTCTCTTCCGTGTCTGTGGCGAGCCCTCGTGATGAAAGTTGTCTAGCAGCGTGGTTGAATTCACCTTGTTTGGTCAACGTCGTTGCTTTCTCCACCTTTTGAGTATCGTCATTTTTCTTGGCCCGCGCCTGTGGTCTCATGGTGTTTTTTTCCTGGCACATGACAATGCTTGCCCCCGCTCCCCGGAATCAAACAGCGCAATTCGGTTGCGTAGTTCTCGCTCGCCTGCGCGCCCTCCATACGCGGTTGGGTTAAGCAGTGTTCGGGGCTACATCTATCATCCAAGCTCTAATGCAATCGCGTATTCTTCCCCTGTCATCGTGATTCTAAGCAAGGTGCTCGCGGTCGGCTTCCACGATGAGTTGGGTGAAGATTTGTAGGGATGCTCCCCGAATGCACTTCGAGATCGTTTTCGGTGTGCGTGCTCCAGCATCAATCTCTTCCCGAATGTCCACAACGTCCACGCGGGTCCACCCATCTGGTGTCTACCGGCTCCTGGGCGGCCACTTCGGTGAGTCGTCGCCCTGATAACATCCAGCGGTGGCCTGGGTTGCTCGCATCTTCCAAACGGGCGTGCTGGTGGGTGATCGGTTGATTGATATTTTCCTTGTGGTAGCTGTCGGGGCAAGTTGCGAGATCCAGCCCCCTCGGACAGCCAGATCCGTGCTTCTGGGGCTTTGTACAGGCCTTCGGCGGTTGTGAACAAAATCGTATCAAACCTGCGTGCAACACCTGCCGCAAGAGCAATCTCATCCATCAATTCTTCGTGCGTTTCTTGTGGAAAATACAAATTCACTACGTAATGCTTGCCAGTCGTGCTGTGTGCGTGCGGCCCTTTCCTGAACAATCGCATCGCCAGCTCCAGCGGACTAGGCTGGGAGTTTGTGTATAGAGGTCAGGCGAGCGACCCCCCAGTCGACATCTGCAGGTTCGGGAACATCATCGCCCTCATGTCCTCCGTCCCGCTCTTCTTGCCCCCTTCTTTCTTCTGCCCGAGGGGGCTGGAATCGAAGTGGTCGTGGTGGTCGGCGAATGTTTGTAATGACGAAGGCGTCTCCGTCGCTATCATCAAACAGCTCGTCGGGGCAGGGTCGGACATTCATTCGTTTGGGGACCGGGGCGCGGCCCCAAGCTGGCTGGGGCATGTGCTGGGGTCGTCGGCATAGGCATCGGAGGTCGTGTGCCGAGGCCTAAGGCTGCCAGAACTCTGATCTGGGGTCCTCTAGGAACCCCGGGAACCCTTTCAGTGCAAACCGTGGGGCCGGGGACACGGGCAGAGCTGTCGAGCAGGGGAGGGGCGGGAGGGGCCAAAGGCATCGGGCAATCCGTTTGATGTCCTCCGTCGCCCTCGTCGTTGCTTTCTTTGTCCTCGTTGGGATCACTCATGCCACCTACGTCGCACGCACGGAGGAGCGTCCATTGCAGCAGGAAGCGGCACGCCGTCCGGGGGGGAGGGCTCACGAGGGTCTGCGGAGGAGGGCCGTCAAATCTGGGTGGAAGGGCAGGGGTTACGGCAGGGGCGGCGGCATCTTCTTCAGCGTCAGGGGACGGAACTCTGGACGACGAGTAGGGAGGCAGAGACCGTGGGCGGGGTGGCGGCTTGTATTCAGCCCTGCCTGGTGGCAGTGGTTTGGGGCCAGCGGGGGCTGGCATGGGGATGGGATGGACAAATGGGTAAGGGTTCGCGTTCGGGAGATGAAAAGGTGGTGGGCTGGGTACGAAATTAACCCGATACGTTTTCCAAAAATAAGGTGTTATCTGGTGCCATAAAAAACATCGATGTCGTACGCGCCATACTGAACCGTCACTGCAAACACCAGAACTGTAGTGTATGGGCGTCTGCACAATCGCCGAAAACGAAATTGATACTGCATATGACACCATGCGTAATCAAAAGAAATCCAAACTAGTGCATTCTTGCAGAATCGTCCCACGTAGCCGTGATCCACTATCGGGATCATGGCTGGGGATTCTGATGTCGGAAGTCGTACCAGTGGGCTTTTCATCCGGATTGCCGTCGGAGTTCTTGCCAGAGTAGTTGGACCTGCCCGTCGCACTGTGGCCCATACGTGCGGTTGGCCCGATGCCGACAGCCAGGCGGGCGCCGCCAAGCCCAACAGGGTCCAGCCCCGCAGGAGGAGCAGCCGTCGCCCCGCGCTAGCATCGCGCGGCCTGCTCGCTGGAGGAGAGGCGTTACAGGGTATATATCCGGGCGGGCGGCGCGCAGCGGGTGGTCGCGTGAACGGCCCCAATCCCAGGCTGCACTCGGGCCCAAGGCTGTTTCGGTGCTGTCTTGGGGACCTCTTGGGCCGTCCCGTCCGTCTTCGAGCACTGAATGCCTACAACAATGATCACACTAAAAACTCATAACACCGAACAGGAACATCTATGGTTTGGGCCTCCTGGAGCCCTCTTGGTGCCATTTTGGAGCGTTTTCGGACCCTCTTGGGCCGGCTTGAAGCTATATTGGGCTTCTTCGAGCGTTCTTGGGCCGTCTCGGGGCCCTCTGGACGCGTCTTGCAAGCCTCTTGGGCCTCTCGCGGCCGTCTTGGGACCCTCTCCGAGCTCTCTCGGAGGCCCACAAGGCGGGGAACCCCGAAACGTACAAGAGGGGCGCCTCATTTGAGCCCTGGCCCAGTCGCGCTTCCCAAGCCTCCCTGATCGCGACGGGAGGTGGCCTTGAGCGGAGCCTCGACTAGCCCTTCGTGCACTCGAGTTCTGAAACCGCTCGACGCAAGCATGCGCCGCCGCAGATATTATCGGTTGCCCCGCTGCCGCAACGTGCGCGCAATGATCTCGTGAAGACCTTGTCGGGCGGCGCTGTTATGAACCACGCCGCATTTCACATTCCATCCTCGGCCCATCCATTCAAGCAGCATGGTCATGACTACCTGTAATAATGTGCGGATGCTCGCTCATCGGATGGATTTGCTGGGGCAAACAAATCTACCTGCAACAAGACGCCCGACCTTTTCCATCGGGTCCTCGACTGGTGCTCCTGCTCACCTCTGCGCGGCTCGCGCGCAACCTCAGCCAGGCCGACGAAGCACCACGCACCCGGGCCTGATCAGCGCATGAGTTAGCCGATGCAGGTCGGGCGGATGGGGCGAGCGTGGGAGGAGAAGGTGGCAAGGGCGTGCGGGGTGCAACAACAGGGTCCGCAGGAGGAGGAGGAGGAGGAGGAGGAGGAGGAGGAGGAGGAAGAGGCGTAGGAGGAGGGGGAGGAGGGGGAGGAGAAGGAGGAGGGGGAGGGAGAAGGAGAAGGAGGAGGGGGGGGGGGGGGGAGGAGGAGGAGGAGGAGGAGGGAGGAGGAGGAGGAGGAGGAGGAGGAGGGAGGAGGAGGAGGAGGGAGAGGAGGAGGAGGAGGAGGAGGAGGAGGGAGGAGGCTGGGACTCAGCCGTGCGTCCGATCATGACGCGCAAACCTAGCTACCTGTACACAAAAAATTGGGCACGAAGCTCCATCGGAAGGGCTGCGGAGACCGAGGGAGGGCACCAGCAACTGGCGCGAAGGCAGGGGGCACGAGGAGAAGACTCCACGCCCTGCCCCGCCGAACGGGACCTCCTCCTCCTCCTCCTCCTCCTCCTCTTCCTCCTCCCCTCCTCCCTCCTCCTCCTCCTCCTCCTCCTCCTCCTCCTCCTCCTCCTCCTCCTCCTCCTCCTCTTCCTCCCCTTCCTCCTCCTCCTCCTCCTCCTCCTCCTCCTCCTCCTCCTCCTCCTCCTCGACGACAGCAAGGCACGTGGCAAGGGCCATGGTGACGATCCTGCAGGGGGTCCGACGCGGGCTTCTTGGCGCGAGCGGGCCGCCCCCTGGGGCGGAGAGGCCGCGCGCAAGCGCCTCTCGCCCCGTCCACTCCCTCCTTCCCTCCTCTGTTCCCCCTCCCCCTCCCCCCCCCTCCTTCCCCCCCCCTCCTACCTCCATCCCCCCTTCCCCCTCCCCTCCCCCCCTCCCCCCCCCCCCCCCCCCCAACCCTCTTCCAACTCACCAGGGCTTGAGCGCAGGAGGATGCAGCAGCACTTCGGGGGTCCATATGTGGCTTCGTCCGTTCGGGGCATCGTGGCGGATCGGCAGGCTGGGGGGGGGTGGGGGGCATCGCGGCATCGCACGCCTGCCCGTGGCCCCCGTGAGGGGTGCGGCCGCCGCTTCGCGGTTGCGCTGCGCGGACCTCGGCTCCTGGTGCCCTGCGCCGTGCCGTGCCTTGTGGCTGTCGTGCCGCCGCCCGGACTCCGGGGCGGGACGGCAAGTGCCGGGCTCGCGGGCTCGTCCCGGGGTGTTGGTGGCCGCTGGCGGCTGCCTGTCGCATCCCTTTCCCTCCCACCCTGTGCGGGGTCGTTTCCTCCGAGTGGCGCTGGCGCAGGGGCCCCGACGACCGGTTCGTTCGCGCGCCCCAGCGCCAGCAGCGCCTCGAGTCACTCACCCTTGGCAGGCGCGGTGACTCGGAGGCTGCGTAGAATCCTCCCTCCTTTCCCCCTCCCTCCCTCCCTCCCCCCCCCCTCCCTCCCCTCCACCCCCTCCCTTCCCCAGTCCCCCCTATCTCCCCTCCCTCCCCCCCAACCCGTTCCCTCCGTTCCCTATGCCCCCCATCCCCCATCCCTGGTCCGCTCCGCCCTCGCGGTCCCCCCCCCCTGCTTCCGCCCTCCGCCCCCCCCCCCCCCCCCCCCCTCCTCGCCTCCCCATCCTCCCTGCTGCTATCACCCCACGCACACCTGTGGCATGACAGAAACCTGGTCCTGAGGGGGCAGGCGCTGGATCGAGGGCCTTCCCACAGGACCAGGTTTTCATCTCGAGTGCTGTTTTGACGTTCCCAGGGCCTGAAGCCGAACACAGAGAAATAACTTTGGATGCAAGGCCTTTTCCTTCAAGACCTCCTTTCTCTCATGGCGACATTCGCTGGAAGCCCCCTTCCCCCCCCCTTCCCCCTCCTCCTCCTCCTCCTCCCCCTCCTCCTCCCCCTCCTCCTCCCCCTCCTCCTCCCCCTCCTCCTCCCCCTCCCTGTCCGTGAAGCTGCTGGGATTCCACCCGCCCTCCGCGCGCACGGGCGGGAACTCTGGCGCCACGTGTGGCGCCGGCGGCCCCAGCGCGACGCTGTGCCTCGCGAGCGGACGGCGTGCCGCTCCGCTCCGCGGGGCGGGAGGACGTGGTTCGGGCCGGGCGAAAGGGGAGGAGGAGGAGGAGCAGGAGGAGGAGGAGGAGGAGGAAGAGGAGGAGGAGGACAGGAGGAGGAGGAGGAGATGGAGGAGATGGAGGAGGAGGACAGGAGGAGAGAGGAGGAGGAGGAGGAGGAGGAGGAGGAGGAGGGAGGGGAGAGGAGGAGGAGGAGTAGGGGAGGAGGAGGAGGAGGAGGAGGAGGGAGGGGGAGGGGGAGGGGGAGGGGGAGGAGGAGCAGGAGGAGGAGGAGGAGGAGGGGGGGGTTTGAGAATCGGCGCACGTAGCTGATCTTCCCGCCTCCCGGCGCGGAGGCGGCTCTGTATCGAGGAATGGGTCGGGGCCGAAACCAGCTGCATGCAGCAGATTTCGTACCCCCCCGTTTCCCACCCCCCCCCTTTCGTCCGGCCCGAGTGGTGGGCCAGAACCGGCAGAGCGACACGCTGAGCCAAAGTTCCTGACCGCAAGTGGTTTAGGGCGCTTCCTCTTCAGTCCCCACCCCTGGGGGGGAGGGGTGCACCTCTCCCTGCCTCGGCTTCGTAGGTCTTCCACCCTCGCCGCTGAGCCACGCGAAGAAGCGCCCTCTTGAGGCCACCTTGTGGCCCTCAAAATGGGGGTCTTTTGAAGGCATCTTGCAAGTCTTTCGGGGGCGGACTGGGGGCCCTCCTCCTCCTCCTCCTCCTCCTCCTCCTCCTCCTCTTCCTCCTCCCCCTCTTCCTCCCCCTCCTCCCCCTCCCCCTCCTCCCCCTCCTCCTCCTCCTCCCGAGATCCTCGCGAAGGCCCCATTAGGGGTCTCTGGGGCATATTATTGGGACCTCCAAGGAGCTCCCGCGGTCGTTCTTGGTGCCGCTCTACCCTGCTGGCCTTTGCAAGAGTTGGGGCAGCTTGGGGCCTCCCTTTGCAGCCTCTGGGCAGTGCGGCTCTCGTGGAGTCCTCTCGAAGCCAATTCTCGAGGCCCGCGGAGCTTGTCTGGAGAGAAAGCGCAAACAACTCACTCTCTCTCTCCTGTGTGGGGTGGTTGGTCTTGGGGTATCGGTGACTCTCTGTGGGCGCCTTGGGGCCGTCTGGTCTCGTCTTGCCTGATCTTCCACCGTCTTCGGGTCGTTTTGGCACGATGGTCAAGCCAGTTCGAGGCCCGCGGAGCTTGTCTGGAAAGAAAACGCAAACAACTAACTCTCTCTCTCCTGTGTGGGGTGGTTGGTTTTGGGGTATCGGTGACTCTCTGTGGGCGCCTTGGGGCCGTCTGGTCTCGTCTTGCCTGATCTTCCACCGTCTTCGGGTCGTTTTGGCACGATGGTCACGCCGGTGTCTTCGCCAGGCGCTGACAGGTAGGGTCTTCAAGGAAATCCACGCCGGAAGACTCCCACCAACGCCCAACAAAGCCTCCGGGGAGCTTCTTGGGGCCGAGTGGGGGCATCCGGGACGCGTCTCGGCATGCTCTAAGGGGCTGTTCAGGCACCACAATCGATTTCCGTTGCCAGCCTTTCCGAGACTTGGTTGGTGGGCTCGGAAATCGGCGGCTTGGCCGGTAGCTTTCGGCGTGGCGGGCGACGGGGAAGCGTAATGGAGTGGTTCCCAGCAGCGCTCGCCGTCGCACACCGGCGCTGGGCCAGAACAGGCAAAGGAAGGAACTGCCGTGCAGTGCGTCAGGGCTGACTCACGAGAGCGAGCTCATGATACGCTTGCGCGCGCTCGCTCGCACCTCGGCGCGCTGGCCTCTTGGGAGCACCCTCGGGGGCAGCTTGGGTGCCTCTGGGGAAGCGGCGAGCGGGCTGGGGGCCGCTTGTCGGCCTCTTGGGGGCCCGTTGGGGGCCTCGCGAGGGTCTCTCGGGGACATCTCGGGTGCATCTCGGGGGCGTCTTGGGGCCTCCAAGGGGGCCCTATAGGGCAACTCTTGTTGCCAACTAGCTCTCCTTTGCTGGCCTTTTCGAATTTGCAGTGGCTTAAGGCCTTCTTGGGCATCACTTGGCCATCGTTTCGGGCCCTCTTGGGGGCCTCCGTAGTCGTCTCGGGCCGCTCCTGAGCCTGCCTTGGGGCACTTTTGGAGCCATCTTGAAGCAATTTCGACGCCTCTGGAGCCTCTAGAGCAGTCCTGAGCATTTCCCCAGTAGTCGCTGAGTAAGAGTGGTGGTGGGAATGCAGAGGGATCTTGTCCGGTTACTTCACTTGTACAATTGGCCTCGGTAGGCCGGCAAGGTGGGCGTGTCCTTGTTTTGAAACCTCCACTGTACACTTCATCACTCCGCTCCGCCTCTGGTCCCATCGTCGACGATGCTCGTTCGATGCTGCAGAGTAGGCAATTTGGCTCGAAGAACCATCGTGGGGACGAAACGCGTAGCCTCTTTCTCTTTTCGCTTGAGACTCGATCCAACACAAGATTCTCTGGAGAAGAAAAGCAAGAAAGCACACATCGCTGAATCTCCACTTGTTTTTGCAATGCTTTTCTGCCCTTCGGAGCCTCCGCGACCCTTACGAACGCCTCCATAGTTCAACATCAGATTTTGCATACGATCTATTTGAGAGCGATTTTACAGTTCTCGCCTTTTCGGGCGTATGGCAGCCTGAGACAACCCAATCTATATCTCATATGGCCCAAAGATAGCCCAAGATGCCCTCCACAGGAGGAGGATGAGGATGAGGATGAGGATGAGGATGAGGAGGAGGAGGAGGAGGAGGAGGAGGAGGAGGAGGAGGAAGAGAAGGCCCCCAGCGCCCAAAGATGTCACACCAGCACGCCCTCAAGATAGACCCAAGGGCCTCAACACGGCCCCGAGATGGTCCCAAGATGGCCCGACGATGGCCCTCGGATGCCCCACATGATGGCCCAGGAGGGCCCCCGAGCTGCCCCAATCTACAGCCATGATGTGGCCCAGGCTGTGGGGGCCGGCGGCCGATGGCGCAGCCCTTGAGAACCACGTCCGAGAGAGGGGTATGTTGGCGTGACTCCAATACCATGTAATCGCAATTTCAAAACAGTATTTGTTTCCCTGTCTTCTCTCTACCAATCCAGGTCGCCCTTCTACTGTTCACTGGCCGGAACCGCAGCGCCACAAAGTCCAGAGGGCGTGCCTCAGCGTCCAAGCCACTCAAGGTTGCCTCAATACTCCGACGGGGACGTCGCCAAACGGCTGCGAGGACCAAGAAGAAGTAGAAAAACGCACCAGAAAGCCCACCAGGCCCAGGACGGCCTCAATGTGGCACCTCGTCGGTCGTCGGACACGGGTCCTACGCCCCGGGGCGTCCCCCAGGACCATCTCTTCGTCCTGAGCCGTTTCTCTTGACAGCCCCGGGGCCCGTGAAAGGCCTCTGGGGTGGCGACAACGGCGGACCACTTTCATGACCAGTTTTTTGGAAGCCGCCCGATTGTCATTGGAGTAGCTGGGGTTCGAAGATCGCCGATGCATCGCCGATCCACCTGCGATGCAACTGCGACGCTGGGATGGAGAGAACCGGGCTCCAGATCACGACGCATCGTTGATGCGGCGTGAGCTGGTCCAAGCTGGGGTACTCGGATTTCCTCACTCCCCTCCACGCCCGTTCCGCCCACCTCCTCTGTTTAGGAGAACGGGGTCTCAGGGAAGCGGTTTCTGGACTCTGGGGCTTCTCCTGGGAGCATATTCCCATTCAGAGCAACTTTTGACAGTCACGGGGCGCAGAAAGGGCCCCGGGGGGCCCGAGAACGGCGAAGCAGCTCCAAGACCCGCTTCCCTCGGGGCCCCTCTCCATTATGGCGCTCGCCTCCTCCTCGCGGGAATCGAGCCGGAGCAGGCAGTCTTAATTATCATCCTACAGCTGCCGCGGCGCCCTCCTCCGTTCTACTCAGGTCCTCTCCCCTTCGCCTCCGCCTCTGCCATGGGGGTTCGAGGCGGCACCGCGCAATCCTAATCCTACAGCTTCTGTGTCGGCCTGGCGGGGGCCAGGGGGCGTCGCCGGGCGCGCGCAGGGCGGGCCGCTATGCGCGCGAAAAATAAAATAGAGGGGCAGGGGCATAAGCAAGATCAGCGATGAAACTGGCGATTGTAATGCTGGAGGAAAGAGGGAGGGGGCATGCATCAAGGGAAAATGAGGAACAATGACAATGTGAGGAGCATTAAGAGATGATGCTCAGGAAACGCGCGTGTGCCTGTATATATATATATATATATATGTATATACATATATATCCGCCGGCCCCCTTGTGGGGTCACCAGGCTGTTGGGCGAAGGTTCGCAATTTCCTGTGGCAGTTGCAGCTTCCAGTTTCCGCTGTTACAGTTCTGCTTCTTGCTGCTTACTGTTCCTTGTTGACTTCTTGCTGCTTGCTGTTCCTGGTTGATGGACCGCGCGAGGGGGGGAGGCCCAAAACTGGCATTTTCACCACGCCCAAATCGTATTATCTGAATTGCTGGGGTGGGTAAAAGTTGACACCCCTCACGCAGATCGGCGGGGTCAGGGTCCAAAAACATATGGGATTTGCCACATTTCTGAAATTCGGTAGCACCCTTCACGCAGATCGGCGGGGTCAGGGTCCAAAAACAAATGGGATTTGCGACATTTTTGAAATTCGGCGGCACCCTTCACGCAGATCGGCGGGGTCAGGGCGCAAGAACACAGAGGATTTGCTACATGTCTGAAATTCGGCAACACCCCTTGCGCAGATCGGCGGGGTCAGGCTCAAAAACACAAAGGATTTGCCACATTTCTGACATTCGCTGGCACCCCTCACGCAGATCGGCGGGGTCAGGGAGCAAGAGCACACAGGATTTGCTACATTTCTGACATTCGCTGGCACCCCTCACGCAGATCGCCGGGGTCAGGGTGCAAAAACACTGACGATTTGCTACATTTTTGAAATCCGGCGGCACCCCTCACGCAGATTGGCAAGGTCAGGGTCCAAACACATATGGGATTTGCCACATTTCTTACATTCGGTGGCACTCCTCACGCAGATCGGCAGGGTCAGGGTCCAAAAACACAGGGAATTTGCCACATTTTTGAAATTCGGCGGCACCCCTCGCGCAGATCGCCAGGGTCAGGGTCCAAAAATACATCGGATTTGGCACTCCTCACGCAGATCGGCGGGGTCTTAGGCTGCTGCTGCTTTGGTTTCTGTTTTTCCAAATCTCCTCGTCCTCCTCTTCCCCTGTCTCTGTCACCCTCTTCTCCTGGAGACGGAGAAGGCAAATCACGGATGCACGAGGAGAGTGTAGGAGGGAAAGGGGAAGGACAAGCAGATGGCGCAGCACTTATGCCCACAAAGGACAGGGGGAGAAGGCGGGCGAGAGGGGGGAGGCGCGAACGATGGGGAGAAGGAGGAAAAACAACGCCGGTGCAATACCAAGACGCATCAACGATGCTGCAATACGCCCTGCCTCCAACTTCCCTTTCGTAAGCCCAACACAATAATACATGTTACTTTGCAAGAAGTGGCCCATTAAAAGAACAAGCGTCTGAACATTCCCAGTCGTGCCAATAAAAATTTCCCCTGGGACTTCAATGCCGCGAGTCAACGTGACGGCTGCGTCCTTGCAATCCCAATTCGTGCCAGAACACCATTCCTGGGACTTCGACCAGAATTCTTCAAACTACTGCATGCTGCAAGCGCTTGAAACGAGTTTGCGCGGCGCTGAAGCGAGAGGATCATGTTGAAAAGGACCAGTCCCCCACCAGTTGTTGCGAACTTTTGCGATAACTCTGCGCGGCGCTAAAAGGCGAACACATCATACTGAAAACGACCCGCGCCCCGTCAGTGAGCCGGTTGCGTGTGAAGCTTCAAAGCCATACGCGGTGGCGAAGCCTTAAGCGAACCGCCTGGCCCGCCCTGCCGGTACGTTTGGGGCTGCGACAGGGTGGAACTACTCATACGGGAAAGGGAAGAGTAGGAAGAGGAGCAGGAGGAGGAGGAGGAGGAGGAGGGGGAGGAGGAGGGGAGGAGCAGGAGGAGGAGGAGGAGGAGGAGGGGGAGGAGGAGAGGAGGAGGAGGAGGAGAGGAGGAGTAGGAGGAGGAGAGGAGGAGGAGAAGGAGGAGAAGGAAAGGAGGAAAGAGGGAGGTGAATGAGGAGGTGTGAGGTTGTGAGGGGGAGGAGGGAGGAGGAGGAGGGAGGGAGGAGGGAGGAGGGAGGAGGGAGGAGGGAGGAGGAGGAGGGAGGAGGGAGGAGGGAGGAAGGGAGGAGGGAGAAGGGAGGAGGGTCGGAGGGAGGAGGGAGGAGGCGGGATGGGAGGAGGAGGAGGAGGGAGGAGGGAGGAGGATGGAGGAGGAAGGAGGAGGAGGAGAGGAGGAGGAGGAGGAGGAGGAGGAGGAGGAGGAGGAGGAGCGGAGGAGGAGGAACGGTAGGAGGGGAGGACTGGCAGCGAGGAGGAGGGAGAGGAGGAGGGAGGAGGAGAGGGGGGAGGGAGGAGGGAGGAGGGAGGAGGGAGGAGGGAGGAGGGAGGAGGGAGGAGGGAGGAGGGAGGGGAGGGAGGAGGAGGAGGGAGGACGGGAGGGGGAGGGCGGAGAGGCGGAGGGAGGAGGTGAGGAAGGATGGAGGAGGGAGGAGGAGGAGGAGAGGAGGAGGAGGAGGAGGAGGAGGAGGAGGAGAGGAGGAGGAGGAGAGGAGAGAGGAGGAGGAGGAGGAGGGGAGGAGGAAGAGGAGGAGGAGGAGGAGGAGGAGGCAGGAGGAGGAGGGACGGAGGGAGAGAGGGAGGAAAGGAGGGAGTTGGGGAAGGAGGGAGGAGGGAGAAGGGAGGAGGAGAGGAGAGGAGGATGAGGGAGCGAGGAGGAGGAGCGCGAAGGAGGGAGGAGGGAGGAGGAGGAGGAGGAGGAGAAGGTGGGAGGAAAAGGAGGAGGAGAAGGTGGAGGACGGAAGGGGAGGAGGAGTAGGCGGAAGGGGAGGAGGAGGAGGCGGAGGAGGAGGAGGAGGAGGAGGAGGAGGAGGAGGAGGAGGACCGAGGAGGAGTGGGAGGAGGAGGATTGAGGAGGAGGGGGAGGAGAAGGAGTCTGAGAAGGAGGAGGAGGAGGGGAGGAGGAGGAGGGCACCGGCCTATCCGTCTTTGCAGCACAAGTCCGGCGACACTCACACGAGCAAGAAACATGATGGACCCACGAACCCGGAAAGGGATATAGACATGCGCAGCATGGTCACGTTTTCACGATACCCAACTGGGCGACACCTCACAAAACATCCCACGAGACACCCCGCGAAACATCCCACGAGACACCTCGCGAAACGTTCCACGAGACACCTCGCGAAACGTTCCACGAGACACCCCGCGAAACATTCCACGAGACACCCTACGAAACATTCCACGAGACACCCCACGAAACATTCCACGAGACACCCCACGAAACATTCCACGGGGGTGCGACAGGGTGTGGTCGTGCTGGGGTGTGGTCTTGCTGGGGTGTGGTCGTGCTGGGGGGGTGGTCGTGCTGGGGGGTGGTCGTGCTGGGGCGTGGTCGTGCTGGGGCGTGGTCGTGCTGGGGCGTGGTCGTGCTGGGGTGTGGTCGTGCTGTGGTGAGGTCGTGCTGGGGTGGTCCGCACCCTGTGATCTAGCACCGCGAGCAACGACAGGCAACCACTCAACCAGGACAACCACGAGGAGACGCGTAACGCACGCAACGGTACGGGCGCCACTCATCAAACACACAGGGAGTCCGTGGCTGCATCGGTTGAGTGGTTGCCTGTCGCCGCCCCCTGGGCGGATCCCCCTCGTAGTCGTCGTCGTCGTGTCGTCGTCGTCGTCGTCGTCGTCGTCGTCGTCGTCGTCGTCGTCGTCGTCGTCGTCGTCGTGGTCGTGCTGGGTGGTGGTCGTGCTGGGGAGTGGTCGTGCTGGGGCGTGGTCGTGCTGGGGCGTGATCGTGCTGGGGTGTGGTCGTGCTGTGGTGAGGTCGTGCTGGGGTGGGGTCGTGCTGGGGTGTGGTCTTGCTGGGGTGGGGCCGTGCTGGGGTGGGGTCGTGCTGGGGTGTGGTCGTGCTGGGGTGTGGTCGTGCTGGGGTGGGGTCGTGCTGGGGTGGGGTAGTGTTGGGGTGTGGTCGTGCTTGTCGTGCTGGGGTGTGGTCGTGCTGGGGTTTGGTCGTGCTGGGGTGGGGTCGTGCTGGGGTGTGGTCGTGCTGGGGCGTGGTCGTATCTATAGGCACATACGTAACAAAACAAGCGTTTCGCTCGAGACATCCTCGGCAAACTCTGCGGAGCAAGCGTTTCGCTCGAGACATCCTCAACGCACGAAAAAGTGGCCCGCACCCTGTGATTTATCGATCGGGATTTCAAAAACAAGCGTTTCGCCTGAGACATCCTCAAATTTTAATCCGCCGGCCTCCTTCGACCTCGATATTCATCAGGGAAAGAATCCGCCGGCCTCGCGGAGCCGCGCGGGCCAGCCGCGGGGCTCACTGCTCCTCGAGCTCCGTCGCCTCCGGATGCATGCGCTCGTAGAGCCTCCGGCGAGGAGAGAGATAGGGGGGGAGGGGGGGGGGGCGGCGAAGGGCGGGGGCGAGGGGGGGGGTGGGAGGGGAGGGAAGAGCGGGGGCGAGGGAGGGAGGGATGGGGACGTTAAGGGGGTGGGGATAACGGAGGGAGAGGGGGGGCGGGGCGAGAGGGGGGGGGCGAGGGCGGGGAGAGGAGGAGGGGGAGGTGGGCGAACAGGGGGGAGGGAGGAGGGAGGGATGGAGGAATGGGCAGGATAGAAGGGGGGGGGATGAGATGAGGGAGGCAGGGGGCGGGATGCCGAGGGAACGGGGGACAGGGAGGGTGAGCGATGGAAGAGGGAGGATGAGGAGAGAGGGATAAGGGGAGGAGGGGAAAAGGGAGAGGGATGGAAGGAGGAACGAGGACGAGAAGGGGGAGCGACGGAGAGAGGACTGCTGGAGGGAAAACGGGGAACGAGGGGGAGGGAGAGAGAGGGAGGATAAGGGAGGGGGGCGTGAACGTG